CAAACTGTTCTATAATTCTATGATTCATATGTAATATGCAAGTACTATATGGTGATGATGGAGTGATAAAACTTTTGTCAGCATGAGTTTGGAACAGTCGTATTGCTTGTGAGCATGGAAGCCAAAAAAAAAGACAGAATGGTACATCCTAAGCATCAGTGTGGAGTTAAACCTCAGCACCTTTTAGCCTAGCTAGCTAATATCTATCAGATTACAGATATGCCGACTGATTTACAGGTGATTATTGTGTGGCCCAGATTCCTGAGGATAATATAGTAAACAGGAGACGACATTCATGAGAAAGGAGGAAAATACACTGATGAGAGACACCTAAAATTCCAGATCTCTGAGACAATTTAAGAACTTTGCAGAACCAGATCTGTGAACAACTTAAATCTTTCATTCTTAACAAATCAGCAAAGAACAGAAGATCCAGCGTATCCCCTAAATATCAAATATTTGGAATGAGAAACAGTTGAAATATATGCTTGTTTAAGGAATATTTCCCCAAAGCTAAGAGAAGGACACAACCCAGGAAAACAGTACTCACCAGAATGTCCCTTTGTCCCTGCTTTCTGTATCTATGAACCCAGATTCCAAAAACATGTCCTTGTAAATTCGACCAACCAGGCAGTACATATCTGAAGCTACTTGGTCTTCCTGTTCTACCAGGGGAATCATAATTTCTAGAGCTTTCTGTCTGTCTCCAGGCAGATTTCGCCTATTAAAAAATAAAAATTTTGATTAAAAAAAAAGAACAAGAAATACTTGTTCATGACCATGTTTGAATATATATGTATGCATAAAAAGTGCTTCTAGATACAATGGACTATATTATACATACACACTTCACCCCCTTCTTCCTTTCTCCCCCTCCCCCTCTTAATATCATGGGACACCTTTGTAAAGCCCCCAAACACGTTTTCACTCTCTCTCATGAAGCATTAGCTAGACCAAAGCACGAACAACAGCAATAAGAGCCTCAAGAGGAATTGTTAGAAAGATCATGTGTTACTTTCTTACGAAAGAGAAATTAACCTAGGTTTGTGTATCTTTCATAGTAATTCATGCTTTAAAGGATGAAAGATTCCATCCTTGGAATTTCTGGGTCTGCTGGGGTTTTTTTGTTTGTTTGATTGTTTTATATATACATTTTGAATGTGAAACAAAAAGAATAAAGCTCAAACCAGACTTAATACCCATGATAGGAAGGGTTAGGAAGTGAAGCCAATGAGGTAATATTAACAAAAGTACTTCAGACAAATAAACCACATAATTGCAAGCATTAGACACTTCCTGGTGACTCACAGTTTGAATACATACAACAATCAGTATCAAGAGTTTAGAAATTCTTACATATTTGGGTAACTGAACAAGCAAATGACTCCTTTCTCAGCAAAAACTGTTCTTAAGTGGCTTGGGGACAGTGCCATGTTCTTTTGAAAAACTGATTATATTATATTAGTGACAACAATTTGAATTGGGGGGAATATATAAACGTGGTTTTGCATCTGTCTTGCAAGCTCTGTATTGAAGCAGCTTGCAAGAGAAGGTACCTCAAAGAAAAAAAAAACACATCAAAAGCCACAGCCATCTTAAAGCAGATACTACTTTATCAGACGTTCAGTAATAGATTATTTTCTCCCCTCTCTACAAGAACTTATCAAAGTTTTGCTGCATCTGCACAGGCAGTGTCATTGTCAAACCTTGGAGATCAGAACATGTGTACCAGGACATGAGCTCGTGAGCTCTGAGCTCACGTATGCTTTCTCCAGAAGGAAGTGATGTGGAAGAAAAGGTTTAAATCAAGCAGAAGTGGGTAACAGAGGAAGAATGAGTACTTAAATCATAACAAAAAATAATTAAGAAAACAGAGCAAAAGCACTTGTTTGAGCAGACAGTATAAACTGCTTTCCTGAGCGAAAAACCAGGAGTATGAGAATCTGCATGCTGGGCCAACCTCTACTAATGGCTCAGCCTGATGAGGATGTGCAGAGTATTCCAGACCTGCCTTAGCTCAGGAGACGTCCTCTACATTCCCACTAAGGAGAATGCTACAATTCGCCCAGGTCATACACCAGAGCACAAACATTTTCATGGCTGTCAAATTCCAGTTGAATTTACAGTCTGGAGAAGGGAGGGAGAGAAAAATCTGCTCTGAACTTCTTTGGAGCTACTGTGTAGGCCTTCTGTATGCCAGATACCTTGAATGGCTACATCTTAGTCAGACCTATAAAACCAGACCATTCAGACCACAAGAAGTCCCAACAGAACCAATAAAGTATAAGTATCTGAAAAGTTTATACTGCAGTTTTGCAGTTTTATTGCACCGGTGAACTAGTCAAGTCTTGTTTTCAAAGGTGACTTTGTTTTATAAAACAGTCACCTTGGGGTCTAAAAATCCTGTGAAAACTGCAAGGTACACCTAGTGACTTTTGTGAAGGCTTTGAGGAAGTTGCAGATATGTGCTCGATCATTTAATTTGCAAAGCTTTACATTTTTATGGCAAAGCAGGAACAAAAAGAGCACTGTATTTATACCTTCATATAACCAAGTATATGAAGAGTAAGAAAAGACCCAGGCATTTTATTCAGACAAAACAATGGCAGATAGCTTTTTTTGTTGTTTTATTTTTGTTTTAAAAATGGGTTTGCTTTTTTCCTACTAATTACTTGCAATGTATTTTTGACATCGCTTTGACATGATACGCAGTTTTTGAGCCTTCTTGGAGAACCTGAACTATAGTATTCAAATCTGTGTGAGAAACAGAAAGTTCTGTAGACATTTTCTATATCTGAGAATTTCAACGCCTGCTGACACCTGGTCTACTCCTTTAAACATCAGTAGCAAAATGTTCCTTATCATTACAGCAAGGGAGCTGAAAACCTCCATAATGTGGTCTGAAAAGCTCAGCATTTTAGGTGCCTTGCCCAACTACCAGTATCCTAGAAAAAATTCTAGGTTTGGGTCTCATCTGACCCAAGAAAGTAGAGCATGTTGCTCCATGTGGCACATTTTGTGCATGTTACCAAAGAACATGAAAAATAAGTTGTTATTATAATAGAATAAAATCTTCTGATAGACATTTGATGACAGTTCTCCTCCTGTCTCCTGACACTACCAGAACTCAGACTTGAATGAGATGATGTGTAAGTTAGCACAAAAGCTGCCCCACTGCCACTCATACAGCAATGTTAAAAAAGTATTTTACAGAGGTAAAATAACCTCTAGGTATTTATTGGCTCCAATTTAGGTACTAAAATGAAAACGTGATGCAAACCTATGGAAAGACAAGCAAACATGCTAAAGGAAAAGAAATGGAATTTGGCAGTACAAGAATAAAGACAGCTTAGATTGATCACGAAGCTCAGAGTCCCCACAGTTGCTTCAATGAAAACCCTAGACCTACGTATGAAAATTCCAGTAGGGAACTCCACCCAGGATTACCCAGCCTGTGTGAAGTTCACAGTTCTGATTTACTGTTAAACAGTGGAAAGAAGAGCAGATTCTTACCTGTTCAATGCAAATGCATAATGCAGCCTCACGTGGTGGTGGGAAGCCAAGTCAAAAGTAGGCAGTTTCTCTAAAGTTTTCACTAGTTTCACAATGGAATCATAATCCTTCCAAAAGAAGGGAATAATGAAGTTTTAAGTGGCTGTACTGAAGGATGACTATATAAACTCCTCTTTGAACCAAGCACCACTTATATCATACTATGAAGTATTTTCCGTTCACTGAAAGTTCTATAGATCTCAGTTTCTTCAGCTTCAACTGTAAGTAGCCTGGCACTCTTCAGCAATGTGAACATGCACAGTATTTAGCAGGGAAACACAATTTGGGCTCCTGTACTGCTTCACTGTGGACCTGTGGAAACTTGAGTGCATCTATTTAATGACTGAAGTTAGCTTCAGGGGCTGAACGCAGCAGAGTTCAAGGTGTACATAAATTTCAATGGTAGCTGCATCTGAATTAAGGCATCCCAAAACTGAAGTAGGCCTGCGCCACAAAACCAAAAGTCTTTCAGTACCACAGTTTTTAAAGTTGCTTACTCGCTGACATATTTTAAAGAAACCCAAACAAAACCAGAATTAAAACCAAATCACTTCCAAATGTTTAAGGAGCAACAGTTGAAATTATGTGTTGCAAAGTAAGCAATTATTAGCCCCATTCCAGAAGCTGAAATGCATATGAACATGTTATGTTTCCAACGAGAAATGTCACAAGCACGGTGACAAAGAATACATATACATACCAGTAGCAGAATGCTACCACAGCCTTTATGTAGGACACACTGTGGGCTATTCATCACACAGTAAGGCTGAGATGGAGAACAGTTATTACAGGCTGTGTACTTTCTAGGTGCTGTTAAGACAACACTTTTCTGCTACGTAAAAGGCACACTATGAACAGTCTAGCTACAAAATAAAGTCAAAAGCATCAATGAAGATTCTGTAAAAGATTTTTACTAGTGTCCATTATTCATACAGTTTGTTAGTAAATCTCTGGGAAAATACATTAAAAATTTTACTGAGAATGGAATTAAATTTACTGTGTGGTAGGTGATCTTAGAGCATAGGATTCATACCTGAATGTCTCTGTAGGACAGCAGCAAGTTTATTACAATGTCAGCAGACAAGACTTCAACATTATCCACTCGCTGTCGAATCCTTGCCAGCTCCGCTGCAAGCTCTTTGCCCGTGTAGAGGTTACGGGCCTTCCTGATGTCATTCAGAATGGATTCCCGGAAATACTGACTAGAGAGGAACAACTTGACATCAGCAATTTGGGAAAGGTCCCTTGCGTTTGTTTTTCTGGCCCTGCAGCTCTCCCACAACGTATATGTGGAATATTTATTGGCAGAGCAGCGTCAGTGGAGAGGTTCGCTCAAGCTAAATTATTCATTATCGATTTGCCGCAACAGAAGGCAAAACATCGCATCACCCTGGAGCAAGTCTGACACCCACAATCCCAGAAGGACTATCTGAATTTTACGTACGGGTACAAAAAGACAACTCACCTTGAGCTAGCCTGTGCCACCTTCAAGAGCTGAATAAATCGATCCACCAGCGGTAAGCATATCGGACCCAGCAGCGACTCAAAACTGGGCTGCATCAGCTCCGTCAGTCCCTTCATAAAACTGCTATCGCAGCAGTACACCTTGTTATGGGGAGTTATCATATATGGAACAAATATATAGTTACCAGTGCACATCTGTAGGATTAGGGCAAGTATGGTTTGACAAGCCTAAGACAACTGCATTTACTACGTGCAAGATTTCACCTGTTAAAGTCACAGGGAGATCTGCTGCTTCCTTCATCAAGACCAGGATTTTACCTATGAAGCCTAGGATTACATAAAATCCGTTTTCATCTCAAATATGATATACACCTGATGTGTATTCTTTCAGCTTTCTGAACTGCTTCCTGTCAGATGAGTCTTTGCAGAAGCATCACATTGACCTTAGAAGAGTCAGTACGTGAGCTCAATAACAATATGAACCTGAGGGTACCCTCAAGTCACATCCCAGTCACCTCAGAAGGGTTGGCAGGCTTGAGTGAAGCTGACGTACACTCTATGCAAGGTGACTGATGTTCAGAAGGGAGCAAGCACTCTGCAATTCAGTATAGTTAGGCACACAGATGTTGAAAACAACACGTGCTAGTTGCCTCACAACAGGAAAGCTGCAGGGAAAACGAATCCTCGTATGAACCACAAAATGACTCAGATAGCAGGGAATTTAGTTTGCCTTTGTTATGCTAAACTATGTATCGAATCTTCATGGCCAGCGGGACTTAAAACCATCCATATTTCAAAATAATCACATAAGAAATATCTTTGCATGACCAAACTTTATGGATTTCTATATCTCAGTGTATGACAGTCTGCAGAAAACCAAGTTTATCTTCTAAGGAAAGAGGGAGGCAAGATGTCTAGTGCCCGTGGTACATGTGTGAGTACAGTTTTACGCACATGGAGTTCTTGCTGAAAATTTGTGGTTCTGAAGGGTCTTAACTATGAGACAGTCACAGTCAGGAGTTCTGCCATTTGGCTCTTGAAGCTCAGACTTCACTACTGAAGTGGCCAGCAGGGAAAACCCTGAGGAAGTAATTCTCAAAGCCTGTTATTTTGGTACCCCTAAATTACTTCCAAGACTAATTACTTTCTGGTTAGCTGCTTCTGCTCTCCCAGAAGTCAATACAGCAATGAGGACATCACTTCAGAGACCCCCCTGGCAAGCTGAGCTCCATACATTGAGACACCAGTGACTGAATAGGTTTCAAATGCATAATACCAGCTGTGTGCTTCAAACATGCATTTTTAACGTGCATTATCGGATTTAAAAACATGGAAGGATTCAGGTACTCTAGTTTGTATAAGTGTATGTGTATGTCAGTAAACATATGTTTGTGTACAGATCACAAACTGCCTATGAAAAGTACAGGAACTACTTTTTTTTTTTTGTTATACCTATTACACCAGGAAACTGTAAGATGTCACTATAAAGGCAATCCCATCCACACTTCTGAGGGATATTGACAAACTCTGTAAAACTTAAAACGAATAGATGAAAGCATTTACATGAGGTCCATTGAGCTCAACTAACCCAGAACTTGGTTGGAGATTACTGCATACACAGACTTGCACAAGGATGAATTTATTCTTCCTCCCCAACAACTGCAAACTATTAGAGCCGAATAGCTAGGACACATCTTTCTGTGCCGAGTGCTGCAAATTCAGCTCAAAAGGAAATGTGAGAACTGGGAAGTGTATGACAATATTTTTAATAAACAATTAAAGAGTGTACTGCTAGAACCCAAACTGCTTGTCTTTACGATGAACTGAATGAACACTTCTGCCCAAGAATATGCTAGCACGTAAGGCTTTCAAGACTGCAAGGATGAACTTTGACCCTGCTAAAACCTAGTAAGGCCCACAGTCAAAAGCAGAGAGGAAACTGAGTTTCTTGGAATTGGTTTCAGCAACTACAGGACCAGGGTGGGCAGCAACTGGCACTGGAGCCACTATTAATCACAAGCAGACTACTCTCCAACCTTCCTTTTTAAGTGAAGGAGAAAAAGTTCAGGAAGTCGGAGCCAAAAGAAAAGGTGAAGTAGCTACAGATATCCCAGGGCAAGCATTTTACTTCCTGACGTTTATTCAGTGCATTAAAAATAAAATCAAGACTGCTTGCAGGAAGGCTTCTCAGACCTTTGGCACACTGTTTCCAAAGCTCAGGTCTTAATTAAAAATCGACTGAAAAAGAACATGTCCAGCTTTTGAAATCCACAGGGCCCAAAGTTTATCCTGGCGTAACGGTCAGGCCACCTACAGAGACAGTACTGGAGTCTTCACAAATAATCCTACAAGCATGAAAACTACTCTTCTTCCCAAGGCCAAGTGCTTGAGCCCATTCCTGACCTTATAAACCAATCTTGAGAGCACCTTCTGTATGAAGTAGGTACCTATTTCAGTGGAACAAGAGAGCCAGCAAAAATTAGTTCACATGCATTTTTCCTGTTACTTCAAGGACTTAAAAATAAGGCTGGTTATAGTCTAGAGCTTGATGTAGAAGACATGTAGCCTTTGGAAGCAACGGACAAGGAAAATCTTAACAGTAAAAGGCAAGAGAAACCACTACATGGGAAGAAAACAAGAAAATAAAACCAATTCACAGTTGTTGAGGGTTTCCAGGTTTCTCAGGGAGTTGTCTCAAGGCAGAATCTCACCTTGATCCTCAGTGGCAAGTAGGGTGGGAACACAGTAGCCTTTCCCTCAGCTGGCGTATGAATTTGGTTAACTTCATCTATACAGTTACATTTTGTGGGGAGTGCTCTCTCTGAAACCTCACAAATTTGGCTGAAACTCATCAGACAGACACAGAAAGAGGGTGGAGGGTGAAAAAAACAGTACAAGCTCTTAAGTTTCATTTCCTTAGGAAACAGGCTTTAAAAAAAAAATCCCACACAAAACCCACATGCAGTATTGTTAAGAAATACAAGAAATACTGACCTAAACTTCACTTTCCTAGTTAAAGAGTACCTTAGATATTTAACAGCTGATCCTGACAAAGGCAGACATGCAGTAGCTCTGGTGACAGGGAAAAGAAAGAATCATAAGTTAATATATTATTTACTAAAGGTGGTGGTGGAAGCAAGAGGAACAGCGACGGCACGACTGCTCTTGTATAATACCGTCTATGGTCCCCCAACTAGGGAGAAACATACTTTGTCACCATCACAAATTCTAACTACACAGGGCCCAACCCTGACTGCGTTTGGGCAACAACTGGGATGGGACCCTGAGAGGACCAGGCTGGGGGGGCAGCAGCTGAGGAGCTGCTCCAATGTCAGACAGCTCTAAACTTCCTTCCCCAAAGCAAAGTGCATGACTTGCTTCTTTCCTCATTCCCAGGCTATGCAACCTCTGTCTCAGTCGCTTTTACTTCCTTTCTCACCTTTCTTTGTCAAAACATAAGCCACGCTAAATTAAGTCAGAAAGGATCAGGTGGTCTTCCTGATATACACCTCCAATCTGCTCACATATCGCTTTGTATTTTGACTTAGTGAACATTATTCCACCTGCAAGTTTAAATATATTCCACTTATTAAAATCTGCACTCCATCCCAACTCTGAGCTCACAAACTCTGACAATTCTTTCCTAACCCTTAATAAATTCACTATAGATTTTAAGTTTGCTGAGCACCCAAGACAAAATTGTTGCTTTCCTTTGATCCTTTCCTCTGACTTGCCATACCAGGTACAACAAAAGTACTAGAATCATGCCATTTGAGAAAAAGCATACAATTTTGGAAGGAGTAACAATTTCAATCTAATTGCAACACTCTGTTACCTCAACACCCTTTAAAAAATGTGAGTAGCATAAAAAAGCTTCAAAAGTGGGTGAGAATAGACCCACTCCCAGTAAACAACAGGTCCTAGAAGTTTCATTTTCCAACCCTCTTTCTTTAAAAATCCCTCATTATTTCAGGTTCAAAAGCTGGAGTTACACTAATGACAGCTAAAGTGACTGCAGGTCACCTGAGTTGTAAGCTAGAAAGCATTACTGAACACATCAGGGGCTGGGACAGGCCATGAGTGTGCACACAGATAGTTACTATGGCTCAGCCCGATGCACAAGAACTCAGGACATTAGATAAGGTAAATTTGGCCTGAGCTCTCAGATCAGCTGAACTAGTTATATCTAGGCGATACAAGTACACGTATCTTTGAAGGCTTTGGGCCAGCACACTCAGTACCTGGCAACATCAAGACACCTTCTGAAAGACTATCCATGTCACAGTCCATTTCATCAAATCGGACTAGTCAGAAGGCAGAAGTTTTGGCTGGAGCTAGCTACACATGGATAAATGCTTACCAAAAGGTAGCAAAGTCTGATTTATTTTTGCAAATGTTTTAATTTGTTTATATTTTTCTAATGTCCCTTCCTAACATACTGTGCAAAATTAAACATCCAGAGTGTGTGTAATTTCAAGTTAAATACAGCTGGAAGATTGGCTTAAAGGCTCTACAGTTACAGAATTTAAGACTATGCTTCTCCTAGCTAGACCTACTGGTCACTGGAATATTAAGCACTTCCTTCTAAAAGGAAACTTTAACAAGGGCCTGCATTGACAGGACAAGGGTTAACGGGTTTAAATTGAAAAGTAGGGAGGTTTAGAGTAGGTATCAGGAAGAAATTCTTCATGGAGAGGGTGGTGAGGCACTAAAACAGGTTGCCCAGAGAAGCTGTGGATGCCCCATCCCTGGAAGTGTTCAAGGCCAGGCTGGATGAGGCTTTGAGCAACCTGGTCTAGTGGAAGGTGTCCCTGCCCAGGGCAGGGGGGTTGGAACTAGATGGTCTTTAAGGTCCCTTCCAACCCAAACTGTTCTGTGATTCTGTGATTATGTTTGATATCCTTTCTTGGCTTCTGAAAGGAAACTAATATAGTACTTCTTCATATTTGGGAGATAATAAAAAAAGCATAGAATATAGTTATATTTTAGTGATCACAATAAGAATATAAAACAGCCCCTCTTTCAATCTCTCTCTCTAATACAGAACTGTTGCTTCTGAACGGGGCTGGAAATTCAATTTGGAGACCACATCTTATTAGAAAGAACATCATGCAATAAGGTAAATGCCTCACAAATACATCTGACCTGGTACAGAAGATTTT